TGCCTTAAATACTCTTACTCCTAATACCAAATCTCAAACAAGGGCCAGCACTGGGAAGCCGTGTCTCCTGGCAGCACTCATCCCCTGATGTGAATGCACTAGCGTACATCTTCCTGACACGTCAAGTTCTTCCTTGCTCTCTTTTTGGAGAGGAGGGGTCACTGCTGCGTCAAATACTGACAGTGACTCGTACACTTGGCTGACAGTAAGCACTGTGCTGGTGTTAGGAGCAGGGACGAAGTTTCAAGGCAAGTCCTTTTGGTCCTCTCGACCTCTTGGTGATACTTGCATGCATCATTCACTTTCCAAGGGGCGTTTCAGTGCTTCGTGCTTTCCCTCGCATGACTGACCTGCCTGAAATGCAGTCTGGGGGAAGGGGAGGTTGTATTTTCCACAAAGGCCAGAGCTGAGCTCCTGATTTCTGACTTGTTTCCAGACCAATGGTGGTGCAAAGCGCCAGAAGATCTCGCACCAGAACTACATCACTTACCAAAAGCAAGGCATCAGGCGGAGCACCCGGCACCGAAAAGTCCGAGGGGAAAAAGCACTGCTTGTTTCTGCTAATCAGACGCTGAAAGAGCTGAAAATACAGGTAAGGCATTTTTGGTCCAAGGAGTGTTTGGTCATGAATAAGGAAACATGAAATGAATAGTCAAGAGAGTACAGCTGGGAGGAGATGGAGAGGGAAATGAGTGTAAAATCCCAAGTGGCATCAAAAGGCATGTGTTTGTCTTCTGAACGCGGTATTTTTGCGTAGTTCAGCGGTATGTTTTTCCTCTGCACAAAATCAGCGTGTCTCATTGTGTTGGCACAGATCATGCATGCATTTTCAGTTGCTCCCTTCGACCAGAATTTGTCGATCGACGGGAAGATACTAAGTGATGACACCGCAACGCTTGGCAGCCTGGGAGTCATCCCCGAGTCTGTCATTTTATTAAAGGTAATGTGGGAGTGAGGTGGCTGCTAAAGGAAGTCGAGTAAAGCAGGGAATTGAACAAAATTTTGTACAAGGAGAAACACATTAAGGTGCACATGAAAACTGCCATGCCCTGGACGTGCCCACCTGTGGCTGGCCATCAGCTTAATTTAACTAGCTCCTCCTGGAGCTCCTGCCCTTCTTGGGGAAGGAAAAGTCTTTTTTTTTTTTTTTTTCTTTAAAGAACACTTCTTAGCTGGCCTATACTGAAAAACTCTTGAGCACCAGCCCAAAGGAGAGCAAAATTACAGCAGTTCTGCCCTGTTATTCCCAGTCCATGCCAGAAGGTGTTCTGACAACAGTTCCCCGTTCCTCTCCAGAGCAGGACTGACCTGTACAGCTGATAACACTGCTAACATCCAGCGAGGTGCTCGATAACCCCTCGTCTGTTCTGTTTTCCAGGCTGATGAACCACTTGCAGATTACGCAGCGATGGACGACGTTATGCAAGGTGAGGGGGACCCCCAGGCACTGCTGGGGTAGATGAGGGATTTGGGGAAGCTGAATGCTGCTGCGCTTCTGGCAGGAATGGTGGTGGCCACATAGGGCTGTGTCGGCTTAGGGCTGAAACACTAGAAACATGAGAGGAAAATAGAGATGTTGAAGCTTTCCTGTAACTGTCAACTGAAGATACAGCTGAGCGCTGCAGTATGCTGCTGATCAGACAAAAGATCCTTTTAGAAAATGACTGTCAGGAGACTTCTAACATGATGCCTCTTTCTTTCCATCCCCAGTTTGTATGCCTGAAGAAGGATTTAAAGGTGAGAGTCTTTTTTTTCCTTTTTTTTTTTTCTCCCCCTTTCAATTTTAAGCCCACGCAAAGTTCAGCTCCACCTCGCAAGCTTCGTAATCTTTCGGTGGTTGTCTTCTTGCTCCTCAGGGACTGGTTTACTTGGACACTGATGGTTTTATAAGCGCTGGCAGCAAAGGAGCAACCAGAAGGGAAGAGGATTTTGACACGGTAGGGCATTAAAAGACAAGGTGGATACAGGACAGAACTCTTGACTCTTCCAGAAGGCAGAAACACATTCTGAAATGACTGCCCCCAAAATGCCTTATGTCAAAGCAGATTGCACTGAAGGACATCCTGACTTCAAAAGAACGTTCCCAATTTTATATTTAATAAAGCAACAGTAAGGTTGGAGAGTTTAGCAGCAGTAACAGCGTTGTCATGTTTACAGGCAGACGTTTCTAGCAAGGGAGATGGTGGCATTCTCGTATATTCCCTGATGCAGATCCCATACCACCTTCGTCTGTCCAAAAAGGAGTTGTAATTCAGTAGATCAAAAACATCTCGATCTGTTCTCCAGTAACTCTTTAGGCATAACCTGCTTACAGATAATCCTGTCTTTGATCCACTATTATTCTTTCCGTACAGCATGGAAGTAAAGAAATTGTTAATTGTGAGGAATGTCTAGCTCTTTCAAAACTTCATATATTTACCCAAAGTGTAAGCTGTGGTCTGCCTACGAAAGCCTTCCATCAGCGACTTGGAGCCCAGGGGTGCAGAGGGAACAGGGAGCTGCCTCCCTGCTGTCCCCGCGGGGCTTCCCTTGCTCAGCCACTCGCCTTCTGCAGTTTCACTTCCAAACATGATGGTCTTTAATAATCACATGGTCTTTCTCTGTGAACTGTGTTTTTAGAAATGTGGGATATTTTAATGACTTTTGATAACATCTTTCTCCAGTACGTTACTGCCAAGAGCGCTCTGCCGATCACCGGGGGAGCTTTGAATCTAGAGCACCTGAGCCAGAGCTGGCGAAGGGGCTGCGCGTGGGTGGTGTGTTTCCCATGTGGAGAGGTTTTCCCTCTGTTCTCCTCGTTTTCAGGAATGCACTAATGATTTTTTTTTTTTTACATCTCCTGTAGCTCCCAGAAAGGATCTCTCCCTCTCCTGATTGCGTATTCATAGCAGGAAATAGTATACCACTTCCAGACAAAAAAAAAATGAAAAAAAAAAAAAAAAGGGGGCACTGTCAAGGTATCTCCATAATAAAGTTAGACATTTCCTGTTCTCCTCAGAGTTTTAACTTGTTTCCACAACCCCAGTTCGTGCACTGGCGCTTGATGTGGATGCGGAGGGCTGGGTTGCTGCGGTGGCAGCTTTAGTTCTTAAAGGACTGGAGGAGCTTTGCAGGTGGATGGCAGGGTTTGGGCTTCAGGGAGCAGTGGCGGAGTGTGTCCCTTCCCAGCAACCACGGTAGCCTGTTCTTTTATAAATGTACCTTCTGAAGAATTGCAGCTGCCCTGTGCCAAGCGCTAGGTCTTCACACTGCGTCCTCCTCCCTGTCCCTTTGTCCCCAGCAGCAGAGGGGCTGGATGGCGAGTTGGCAAAGCAGCTGGCACTGGGACTGCAGAGCTGCCCCGAAGTGATTTTTTTGGTATAAGTTGGGGCTGGACCCGCATGGGGGAGCGGCGCGGCAAAGCGGTGTGATCTTTCCCAAGGTAAAGACGTCAGCAAGAATTCAGCACGCCCTCGGTCACGCTTGCCCATGCCCAAAGCGGCTCCGCTCTGAAAACGGGCAGGTTTTAATTCTTCCCAGACTGAAGCACTCGCTTGTGTACATACTCCTTGGAAATTCCATATTTTTTTTCAACCTGCTGTTAATTTTTTTTTTATGTTATGAGAGTCTCTTCCTTGAGCTTATAACGTTGCAAAACTAAGTCTCTAAACTCGGCTGGAAGCAGCGAGCTGGGCTGTAGCGGTGCTCCCAGCAGCAGGGAACTCCTGCACCTCAGCATCGCTGTTTCTTAGAGCCAGGTGGCGGACACAGGTACAAGATGTGATTGAAGGCACATTTTACTGTTTTGTCTGTATTTGCAAACATATTGGACTAAAGTTGTCATTTGAGCTGTGGAAGCCTTATTAAAGCGCATACACGTCTGTCCGCTCGTGTTTTAATGCCGCAGCGAGGGCTGGGGGCCGTCTCCGCGCCGTGCACCCCTCAGCCAGAGGTGCAGATGCTCTGAGCTTGATACCCACGGAGAGGCACGAGCAGGATGGCGCCAGCGTGGGAATAGTGCAAGCGCTGGCACAGGGGCACGTTTTCCCCGAGCGAAGCCTCGATGGCTCCCAGCGCCTTGGCTGTGCCCTGTGGTGCTTGGCAGAGGGCCCTTGGCGGAAGCAGCAATGCCTGGCGCTGCCTCGTGCTGCAGCACAGAGGTGTTTGTGTCGGGGAGCCGGTGCCCATGCAGCTGCAGGGCCCAGCACTTGGGTGCCCCCATCCCTGTGCCGACAGGTCACGTCCCCCTCATCCCCGCACTGGCACAGGGCCCCAGGGGCACTCCCCAGGGCTGTGGCTCAGTGCCAGCCCATGGCTCCTGGCACCCAGCGGCGGGGGACCCGTGCCAGCCGTTCCTCGAGCATCCCGAGTCACCGAGCCCATCCCACAGCCCCAATGGGGAGGTGGGTGCCAGGGGGGGCAGCCCTGGCCCTGGAGGGGTTTTGGGGAGCTCAGCTGGGGGCTGGTGGGGAAGGTCTGGGGTGTTTGGGTGGGGGGATGGACTGGATGGATGGATGGATGGATGGATGGATGGATGGATGGATGGATGGATGGATGGATGGATGGATGGAGCGAGCTCTGGGTGGGAGGTTGGATGAGGGGGGAGAGCTCTGGGTGCCAGGGAGGGACAGACGGACGGACAGATGGACAGATGGGGGTACACTGGGTGCTCAGGGCTGGGTACACTGAGTACCAGGGATGGGTGCAGGGGGCCCCACCAGTACATGGCTGGGGAGGATGGGGGGATGCTGGTGATGGTTGGGGGGCACCTGGGTACCGGGGAGGGGCAGCAGGAAGGAAAGGGCTCCCCGGGGACCGGGGCGGGGGCTTTAGGAGCTTCCCTGGGCCGTGGAGCGGGGGACACCGGTGATGGGTGCAGGGGGAAGCCGGGGGGGACCCGGGTGCCAGGGGTGCAGGAGGGAGGGGGGGGGGGGGCCCGGTGCTGGCAGCGGTAACGGAGGGGGGCGAGGGGGGGATCCCCGGCCTGGGGGCGCTGCCCTGCCCGGTTCCCGGTGCCAGATACCGGTTCGCAGCGCCTCTTCCTGGAGCTGCCACCCGGCTCCGGTGCCGTTGACTCGGTTCCCGGTGCCGGGGTCGGGTCCCGGTGGCGGTGCCGGTCCCGGTGCCGGTTCCGGTGCCGGTTCCCGGTGCCGGCCGCCCCCGGTGCGGGCCCGCCCCGCCCCGCCGCACGTGACGCGGCGCGGCGGCAGCGAGCAGCGGGGCCCCGCTCCGCAACGCTCCGGTACCGGCTCCGCTCCGCTCCGGTACCGACCCCGGCTCCGCTCCGCTCCCGGCCCCGCCGCGCCCCCGGTAAGCGCCGCGCCGCGGGGCCCCGCCGCTGGGGTCCCCCCGGGTCCCCCCCCCGCCTCCAATGCCGGGGTCCCCCCCTCCGGTGCTGCGCCGGCCTCGGGGACACCGGGGGGAGGCTGAGGGAGGGGGGGGGCCGGGGCGGGCCCGTGCGTCCGTGACCTTCAGCCGGTACCGGCAGCGGGGGGGGGATGCTCCGGGCCTGGGCAGAGGGACCCCGGCGGGCGGGCAGGCCCGGGGGGGGCCGTGGGGTGGCATCAGGCTCCGTGCGCCCTCCAACCCCCCCATAATGGATTCCCCCAATTGCCCCCTCCCCGCCCTGCCCCCCACGTCCACCGCAAAATCTGCCCCCTCCCCAAATCTGCCCCCCCTTCACCCCCGGCATCTGCCCCCCCCCCCCTCCCCCCCAACCTTTCCGGGCCCATTCCGGCCCCGCAATCTGCGCCCCCCCCATCCGCGTCCCTGCGATCTGCCCCGCACCGTGCCCCCACCGCGGGGCTGCCCCCCCTCGGGTGCCGGCGGGGGGGGGACACGAGGACGGGGCCGGGGCAGGTGTGCACGAAGCGGGGCGATGCTGGCACGGGGCCGGGTCACATTGTCGCGTTTGCCGCGGGTCCCGTTCGTTCTGCCCCGGGTCGCCCCCCCCCCGTGCCCGTGTCGCGCTGTCGCCGTCCCCGCGGTGCCCGGCGCTGTCCGTGGTGCTGCCCCGCGCCGCGCCTCCACCCGCCCGCAGAGGGCGCCCTTAGGGGAGGGGGGCACTGAGGGGGGGGGTGACGGTTCGGGGGGGTCCCAGCAGCCAGGCACCCCCCGTGTCCCCCCCCGGTCCCGGCCGCTCCAGTCCCTCCGGCTCCCAGCGGCCGGCGCTTGGCTCTTTGCCATCAGTAGGCTTCAGGGGTAACGCCGCCAGCCCAGCGGGCAGGGGCTGCGGCGGGGGGCTCTGGGGGTGTGGGGGGGGGCGATGCGGTGCCCCCCAGGCTCCCGGCGAGCCCTCCCCGCTGCAGCACCCCTCCCTCGCCCACCCTCCCCCTGGGTCCGTGCGGTGGAGGCAGCTCCCGGCCTCCCACCCCCCCCCCGCTCCTCTCCCCCAGGAAGTGCCATGGGCCCCCCCGGACCCCCCCGGGCCACCTAGACGTGTCCCCAGCGGGCGCCGCCACTCCCTCGGCCACCCCACCCCGAGGTAAGGCCCCGCAGGTGCTCCCCTGCTGTGACGGGGGAGGCACGGGGGGGGCACCCAAGGGTGCCCATCCCCACCCCCGGGAAGGGGTGTGGGGCACCCACGGCCCCTGCCTCCCGCAGGGCAGCAGGATGGCCCAGCAGCGCCACGCCGCGCCCCCCCCGCTCAAGGTAGGCATCACTGGGGTGGGTGCCCGAGCAGCACCCATAGGTGCCAGCATGCCCTTCACCCCCCTCCCCATTGTCTTGCAGACAGAAGAGGATTACATCCCCTACCCCAGCGTGCACGAGGTAGCGTGGCTGTTCCCCCCCCACCCCCCAGGGACAGTGCCAGGGGTGGGTGAGCAGCTGGGGGGGGACATGGGGGGGGGGGCTGGGGCACCCAGCTCGGCTGTGGGTGCAGGTGCTGGGCCGGGAGGGGCCGTTCCCCCTCATCCTGCTGCCGCAATTCGGGGGCTACTGGATCGAGGGCACCAACCACCAGCTGAGCGGGGCACCCGAGCCCCCCCTGACCCCAGCACCCGGCACCCGGGCCAGGCTGGAGGGCAACCACACGGCCAAGATCTACCGCAAGCACTTCCTCGGCAAGGTGAGCACCCAAGGGTGCTGGTGGGGAGGGTGTCAGGGGTGTGTGGGGTCCCCATGGGTGTGCATGGGCACAGAGGCCCCATAACCATGGGTGCATGTGGGTACAGATGCCCATGGACATGGGTGTCCGTGGGTGCTCGTGGATGGGGTTCTCCGTGGGTATGGGTGTGCACGTGGATGAGGAGCCCATAAGGATGGGTGCCTGTGTGTAGGGGTGCTCAGGAATGTGGGTGCCCCGTGCATTGGGTGTTCTGAGGTGTGGATGCCCCATGGGCACAGGTGCTCATGGGCACGGGTGTCTGTGGGCATGGGGACCCTAGAAGGAGGGGTGCCACAGGCATAGGGAGTCACCCATGTCTGTGGGATGGGTGGCCCTGAGCATGGGTGCTTGAGGCATGGGTGCCCCATCATCACGGGTGCCCATGGGTATCGGTGCTCGTGGGCACAGGGATGGCTGGAGATGGGTGTCCTGTTGAGTGTGTGCCCGGGGGTATGAGTGTCCCATGGGTGGGGGTGCCCCATAGGTGTGGGTGTTCATGAGGATGGGTGCCCAGCAGGCGTGGGTGCCCTGTAGGAACGGGTGCCTCCAGGCAGAGGTACCCATGGGCACGGGCATCCCATGGGCATGGACGCTTGGATGTGCGGGTGCCCCGTGGGTACCGCCAGACACGGGTGCCTCACGGTGTGGGACACGAGCGCCCCTTGGTGCCCTCATGGGTGCTCGGCCCCTCCTTGCAGGAGCACTTCAACTACTACTCCCTGGACCCAGCACTGGGCCACCTCGTCTTCTCCCTTAAGTATGACGAGCAGGAGCACCTCCACCTGCTGCTGCGGTGAGCTGGGTGCCGGGGGGCCCATGGGTGCTGGCTGGGGTGTGGGTGACCACCCTGACCCCCCCACCTCACCCCGCAGCACCCGCACCCGCACCCTGCATGATGTGGTGCCCATCTCCTGCCTGGCCGAGTTCCCCAACGTGGTGCAGATGGCCAAGGTGGGTGCACCTCCCCCCCCCCATTCTCCAGCAGCACCCATGGGTGCCCCCCCCCCCCCAGCCAGGGGCACCCGCCGCACCGCCCCTCCCTCCCGCAGCTGGTGTGCGAGGACGTCAACGTGGATCGCTTCTACCCCGTGCTCTACCCCAAGGTGAGCGGGGTGCATGGGTGGGGGGGGAGCACCCATGGGTTGGGGGCACCCCGGGGTGCACCGCACCCAACCAGCACCTCCTGGCCTCGCAGGCGTCCCGCCTCATCCTTGCCTTTGATGAGCACGTGCTCAGCAACCACTTTAAATTCGGCGTCATCTACCAAAAGCTGGGGCAGGTAGGGGGCTGGGGGGGGGGGAAAGGGGGGACCAGGGGAGTGTGGGGGGTTGGTGGGAGGGGGGGATGCCGGGGGGGGCACCCACGGCTGCCCCACCGCAGACCTCCGAGGAGGAGCTCTTCGGCACCACGGAGGAGAGCCCGGCCTTCGCCGAGTTCCTCGACGTCCTGGGCCAGCGGGTGCAGCTGCGCGACTTCAAGGGGTGCGTGATGGGGTGCGGGGGGGTGGGACACCCCCATGTCCTTGTCCCTGTCCCCTTCGTCCCTCCCAGTCCTCAGCATCTCCCCCACCCTGCCCCATGCAGGTTTCGGGGGGGGCTGGACGTGACGCATGGGCAGACGGGCAGCGAGTCGGTGTACTGCCACTTCCGCGACAAGGAGATCATGTTCCACGTCTCCACCAAGCTGCCCTACACCGAGGGTGATGCCCAGCAGGTGGGGCACCCATGGGTGCTGGGGGGATGCTTTTGGGGTGCTGGCTGATTCTGGGTGTTTGGGGGTGTATGTGGGGTGCACGGGCTCCTAGGGCACCCAAGTGCTGGGGGAGTATCTGGGAGGCACAAGAGCTGGTGGTGCACCCCTGGGTGCTTGTGGGGTTTCTATGGGGTGCAGGGGCTCCTGGGTGCTTGTGAGGCATCTGTGGGGTGCATCCACTCCAGGGGGACCTTCAGATGCTGGGAAGTCATCTTTGGGGTGCAGGAGCTGCCAGGGCACCCATGGGTGTTTGGGGGTGTCCATTGTGTGCAAGGGTTCCTGAGGCATCCCTAAGCACCGGGGGAGCATCCAGGAGGCGCAGGGGCTGGCGGGGCACCCCTGGGGTCTTTTGGGGTGTCCATGGGGGCACAGGGGGGTGGCAGCACCCAACCCCTTCCCACACCCCCATCATGTCCCCGTGTCCCCACAGCTTCAGCGGAAGCGCCACATCGGCAACGACATCGTGGCCATCGTCTTCCAGGACGAGAACACCCCCTTCGTGCCCGACATGATCGCCTCCAATTTCCTGCACGCCTTCGTGGTGGTGCAGCTGGAGCAGGGCGGCCCCCAGGGCACCCTCTACAAGGTCTCGGTCACTGCCCGTGACGACGTGCCCTTCTTCGGCCCGCCTCTGCCCGACCCCGCCATCTTCAGGAAGGTGAGCACCCATGGGTGCTGCTCCATGGTGGGGGGGGGATCCCAGGGCTGTACACTCACCCAGGGCCAGCCCCTCGCCCCGGCAGGGCCCCGAGTTCCAGGAGTTCCTGCTCACCAAGCTGATCAACGCTGAGTACGCCTGCTACAAGGCCGAGAAGTTCGCCAAGCTGGAGGTAGGTCCGGGAGGGGGCCTAAATGGGGGCGCTGTGTGGGGGGGGGCTGGGGGTGCTGGGCAAGGCCTGTGGGGCTGTTGGCACGGGGGGGCTGCACATGGGGTGCTGTGCAGGGGGTTATTGGTGCAGGGGTGCTGAGCGGGGGGGTGCTGTGCATGGGGGTGCTGTGCATGGGGGTGCTGTGCATGGGGGTGCTGTGCATGGGGGTGCTGTGCATGGGGGTGCAGCAGTGCCGTGCATGGGGGTGCCATGCACGGGGTTGTTTCACACGGGGGGGCCGTGCTGGCACATCCACCGCTCCCGGGTGCTGTGCATGGGGGAGCTGCACGTCTGGGTGCCGGGCTTGCATTGGGGGGCACCCATGGGTGCTGGGGAGGACACCCAGGGCAGCGTGCGGGTGGGTGCGCAGGAGCGGACGCGGGCGGCGCTGCTGGAGACGCTGCACGAGGAGCTGCAGGGCCGCAGCCAGGCCATGCTGGGGCTGGGCCCCGACGACGAGCGCCCCGACAACGGCTCCGCCGCCCCCGGCTTCTTCGAGTCCTTCAAGGTGGGGGGACGGGGGGGGGTGGGGGGGTGGGGGGGCAGCACCGGCAGGGGGGGGGCAGCGGGCACGGCGGGGCTCGGCCCGGCACGGGGCCCCCCCCTCGCTGCCCCCCCCCAACCCCCCCTCCCACCGGCCCCCCGACGGCTGCGCGATGGCCCCGCCCCCAGACCCAAGCCCCCACCCCAATCGGCCCGGCCCCGCCCCCCCGGTGGCCCCGCCCCTACCGGTATCTCCCCGGTGGCCCCGCCCCCCCCCCGGTGGCCCCGTGACGCGGTGCCGCCCGCAGTCGCTGCTGGTGCCCGGGAGTCGCCGGGGACGCCGCGGCAGCGCCATCGGGCTGGGCTCGGTGGAAGAGGTGGGTGCCCGGCCCCGGGACCACCGGGACTCCCCACACCCCCCACCCCCCGGGACCGCCCCCGCCGCTGACCGCGCTCCCGCAGGCGCTGCTGGTGCCCGGGAAGAGCCCGTCCCGGCGGCGGCCCGGCCCGCTCGGCTCCCGCCGCTCCAGCGCCATCGGCATCGAGAGCATCCAGGAGGCGCCGCCCGGCAGGTGCGCGCCGGGAGCGGGCGCGGGGCTGCCCCCGGCCCCGGTGTCCCCTCACCGCCCGCCGCTGTCCCCTAGGGACGGCCCCGCCGCCAACACCGACGGCACCGGCTCCGCGCACAGCTCCCCCGAGAGCCGCCGGCACCCGGACAGGTCCCGTGCGGGGCGCCGGGAGAGGGGACACGGGGACAGGGGACACGGGACATGGAGATGTTGGGACGTGGGGACACGGGACACGGGGACACATGGGCATGGAAATATGGGGACACATGGATGGGGGACATGGGGACACGGGACATGGGGACACGGGGACATGGGGATACTGGGACATGGAAATATGGGGACACACGGACGGGGGACACGGGGACACATGGACATGGAGATGTTGGGACATGGGGACACGGGACAAGGGGACATGGAAATATGGGGACACATGGATGGGGGACACGGGGGCAGGGGACACGGGGACACGGGGACACATGGACATGGGGACACAGGGACACAGGGACATGGAGATGTTGGGACACGGGAACATGGGGACACAGGACATGGGGACATGGGGACACATGGAGATGTTGGGACGTGGGGACACGGGACATGGGGACACATGGACGGGGGACATGGGGATACTGGGACATGGGGACACGGGACATGGAGATGTTGGGACATGGGGACAGGGGACATGGGGACACATGGGCATGGGGACACGGGGACATGGAAATACGGGGACATATGGATGGGGGACACGGGGACACAGGGATACTGGGACATGGAGATGTTGGGACATGGGGACACGGGGACACAGGACATGGGGACACAGGGACACATGGACATGGAGATGTTGGGACGTGGGGACACGGGACAAGGGGACATGGAAATACAGGGACACATGGACGGGGGACACGGGGATACTGGGACATGGGGATACAGGTGCATGGAGACATTGGGACATGGGGACACAGAGACATGGGGATATGGAGACATAGGGATATGTGGATGTGGGGACATGGGGACAGAGAGACATGGGGACATGGGGACACAGTTATGGGGGACACAGGGTTACAGGGACATGGGGACACAGGAACATAGGGACACAGGGTCATCATGGATGCACATGGATGGGGTGGCACCAGGACAGGGCACGGGGACAGCATGATGGGGCAGCACGGGGCAGTACAGCAGCGGGGGGGTGGCACAGGGGACAGGGTCACAGCAGCGGCCGGTGGCACAGGGATGTGGCAGCACGGGGACAAGGTGGCACACGGATGGGGTGGCACGGGGACGGGATGTCACGGGGACGGGGTGGCACGAGGACAAGGTTGGGGACATGATGGGGTGGGGACAGCGTGGCGCTTGGGTGGCCCAGGGCTGGGTGGCATGGGGACAGGGTGGTGCGGTGACAGTGTGGGGACAGGGTGGCCCTGGGGATGGGGTGACACCGGGGCGGGGTGGCTTGGGGACAGGGTGACAGGGGGCCAGGTGTGTCCCTTGGCAGGGCGGAGAGGCCGGAGCCTCCGCGGGACTTCTCCCGCTCGTCCTCCAGCGCCAGCAGCTTCGGCAGCGTGGCCGAGGAGCCGGACGAGCACCCCGAGGCCGAGCCGGGCAGGGTATGGGGGGGGGTCGGGGGGGGCTTAATGGGGGGGTGTTGGTGGGTGCTGGGTGTTTGGGGGGGGGGCAGCACCCCGTCACCCACCCTGTGCCCGCAGGACAGCCGCTCGCCCTCGGGGACGCCCCGCCAGTGTGACGCCTTCGCCGACCCCCCCTGGCCGGAGGAGCCCCTCGGCACCCCCCCAGGTAGCCCAGCCCCGGGGTGTCGGGGCGGAGAGGGGGGGGCACCCATGGGTGCTCACAGCCCCCCCACCGCACCCCGGTTCCCCGCAGGCAGCGCCCGCCGCCCCGCCGAGCCCCCCTGCCCCGAGATCAAAATCCAGCTGGAGCGGCCCCCCCCGACCCCGGTGAGGCTGTGGTGCCCCCCCCCCTCTTTTAACCTCCCCCAGCGCACCCCGATGCGGGCGCCCCCCCTGATGTCCCTCTCGCAGGGCTCGTAGCCGTGCCCACCCCCCCCAAATCCTGGGGGGGCCACCGCCGGAGGAGGGTCCCCGCCGTGTCCCACCCCCGCCGTGCCGCCCGCCGCTTCGCCCCCCCCCCCGCCCCCATCGCTCGTGTGCCAGGAGCCGAAGCCATCGTCCCCGGTGCGGGATCGGGGCCCCCCCGTGGGGTGTCCCCCCCCCCCCCCCCTCCAGACAATCTCTGTCACCCCAAATGCCTCTTTTGGGGGTGACGGGCGCTGGGATGGGCCACCGAGGGCCCCCCCCAGCCGGTGTGAACGCACAACGCAACGTGGGACCCCCCCCCAAAATGCAGAGTGGGGCCAGACACAGCATCGCCGCCCCCCCCCCCGTGTCCGTCCCCCCCCCCCCCCAAAAAAAAAAAAAGCGGGGGCTCAAATCTGGGGCAAAACCGAGCTGGGGCCGGACGGCTCCGGGTCGCTGCCAGCCCCCGCTTCCACCTCGCCCCCCCCGTCCCCCCCCCCCTTTTATTTAAGGGAAAAAAGCTCCGGAACGAGACGGACACTGGGGGGGTGGGGGGGACGTATTTTTTTTTCAGAACCCCTGTGTTTGTGTTTCCCGTGATCAATGTTTAAAATAAAGGTCTATTTATCGCTACGGCCGATGCTGCGGGGTGGGGGGGGGGGGCACTGCCCGGGGGGGGGCGGATTTTGGGGTCCCCCGGCAGCCGCTGGCACCAGGGGGGGCTGACGCTCCGCACGGCGGCGCCATCTCAAGGTTCAAAAAAAAGAAAGCAACAAACACCCAAAAAACCCCAAACGCTCCCGTTTTTGGGTCCCCACCGCAGCCCTCCTCCTGCAGGAGCGGGGCCAGGGATCGGGTGGGGGCAGCCAGGGCCCAGCTGAGATTTTTTTTTTTGGGCCAGACACGCAAAAAATTTGGGGATTTTTTTTCCAAAAACTCCCCCAAAATTCGGGGATTTTTTCCCCATGCCCGCTGCCTGCCTCCCATTCCCCTCCACATCGCGCTTTTGTGCCTACAAACCCCGCATTCGCCTCGCTGCTGCCCCCCCCGAACCCCAAATCCTTTTTTTTTTTTTTTTTTTCTGTTTTTTCTTTTTTTTCTTGTTTTTTTCCACCTCCAGCCCCTGCGGCGGGGCCTTGGCAGAGGCAGAGCTTTGGCCCTGGCCCCGGTGCCGGCGGTTCTTGGCCGGGGCCCTCGAACCCCCAAAACCGCGCGGACCCCAGGGCCGGTTAAACATAGCGCAGCGCCCGCCCGCTGCTGGGAAGCCCCAGCGCCAGGGGTGGCCACGGCTCGGGGGGGGGAAAACCTCGGCCAAACCTCGTGCCGAAGCGACGGCAACCCCTTGCCAACTTGGGGTGTCCCCCTTGCCCCCCCCTCGCCCTCCCAAGCTGATGCTGTTCGGGTCACCGCCTTCGCCCGCTCCAAAGTTTGCTGCTGGGTTAATAGGAAAACGAAGCGAAGGTTTATTTAAAAGGTCGGGGGGAGGCGGGGGGGGGGGAGGCTGGTAAATAAATAAAAGAGGCTGGCAAGAGGCTCGTGGCGCCCGCTGTGGTTTTGGGGGGCTGGGGGTGCCAATCCTGGGGTGCTCGGGGGGGCGTTCAGGGGCTGCATCTGCACGGCCCCGCTTGCTGCAAAGCTCCGCTCGGGCGTGCGAGGGGATTTGCATGTGCACGGTTGCATAGCTGAGCAAGCAGCTGCACGGGCACGGTGCTGCTCATGCAGCCAGGGCACTGCCTTGTGCACGCTGCCATCTGTGTGTGCACGGCCCCCTTCGCTCATCCGGGACACCGTTTGCACGGGTAGGGTGGAATTTGCATGCACAAGGCTGCATTTGCACACACAAGGCTGCATTTGCACAAACAAGGCTGCATTTGCACATGTAGGGTGGCATTTGCACGTGCAAGGCTGCATTTGCACATGCAAGGCCTCATTTGCATGTGCACAGCCCCCTTTGCTCACGCAGGGCAGCAGCTGCAGCGTTCAGCTGTGCACGCTCAGAGCACCCCTTGCACACTCAGAGCAGCTTTTGCTCACCCTGGGCACAATTTGCACACACGGGGCACCATTTGCACACCCAGAGCCGCTCTCTGGGGTCTCCCCCTACTTCTCAACCCCCCGACTCCTCAACAGCCGCCCCCCAAAGTGCACCCTGAGCCCCCCCCACCCCCCCCACCCCGCTGCCCTCTCCCCCCGATGCCCCCTCCCCAATTACCAGAGGCTAACGAGGGACGAGCAGCACCGGGTGCTGCCCCCTAAATCCATCTTGGCTCCGCTCTCCGTGCAGTGCTGAGTCCCCAAAATGCTGAGAAGGCCCCGGGCAGCAAATGGCCTCAAACCAAAGGATTTTTCAGGCCAAAAAAAAAGAGGAGAAAAAAAAAAAAAGCCACAAAAGAGGCAAAAGGAGGCAGGGAGCGCCTGGCGAGTTGCCGCTTCCCCACCCGCGGGTGCTTTGCCAGTTGCCCACTCACTCGTGCGATGAGTTGGGTGCCGGGGTCGGTCTCAGCCGTGCTGGCACCGCACGTTTCGGGGCTGACCCCGCTGCCTCTCCCCCCTCCTGCTTCAGGAGGGCTCCGGCCGCAGCGCTGAGCCCGAATCCCACGGCAGCGCTAATGACAGGGAGGAACGGTGTATTTACAGGGGCAGAGCCCAGCACGCGGTGGCCACCGAAACCGCGGGCGGCTGCTTTTGCTCTGCTGAGTCTTTCTTTTTTCGCCTTTTCCCGGGCGCCGCTACCCCAGAAAAAAAAAAAAAAAAAGAGCGGGGGGGGGGAGAGGAGAGAGGATTAAAAAAAAAAATCCCCCCCCCCGTCGATGTTTTGCAAGAGATGCTCTAGCAGAGGAGGAGGAGGAGGGTGAGGAAGGGCAGGAGGAGGGGGCTGGCGGCGGCGGCGCGCCCGGCGGCGTTGCAGTGGGCTCGGTTGGGGCCGATGCAGGCGGCGTACGCCATGGCGTGGGGGATGTAGTTCTGCTCGTGCACCCCGTGCAGGAGGTGGGCCATGGGGCCGCGGGCGAAGACGGCCACGTCCTCACCGCCGTGGGTCTCCTGGCGCAGTGGCACGGCTGACTGTGCCTGGTAGTTGGCGTGCGCTGGGCAGGGGCGAATAAATAAATAAACCAAATAAATAAACAACAAGTTAAAAAGCAGCAATAGTTTGAACCCCCGCCACCGTTTCTGGTTGTTTTGCCCCCGGTGCACGTACCGAAATCCACGGCTGAGACGTTTTCCCGCTCGCCCCCCACGATTTTGTAGCCGGGGCCGTTGCCGTAGAGGATGGAGGTGAAGGGCTTGCGGTCCACATCGCTCTGCATCGGTGCCAGACCTGGCAGCGGCAGCGCCCTCAGCACCGCAGGGACGTCCCCAGGGTGTCCCCATGCTGGGGCTGGGGGGGGGGAGGGAGGGAGGTGGCTCACCAAAAATGGGGTTCCCGCGGGGGGTGTAGCCAGCCAAAGGTGAAGACGTGCGAGTGGTCGGCGGTGACGACGCTGAGCGTGTCCTGGGGCGAGGTGAGGCGTGCGGCCAGCCCGATGGCATCGGTCCAGCTCCACCGCCTCGTGCAGCGCCTGCTTCGCCTTGCCCTCGTGGTGCCCGTGGTCGATGCGGCCGCCTGTGCCCGGCCCAGCTCCGCTCAGCTCCCCTGTGCGCCCACTGCCCCCCCTGGTCCCCCCCGGCCCCCAGCTCCCTCTTTATGCCCCCTTTTCGCATCCCCCATCCCATCTCTTCCCCCTTTCACCTCCCTTTTGTAACCCCCCCATCCTCCTTTCTCCCTTTACACCCCCCATTGCTTTCCTTTCTCCATTTCTGCACCTCCTCCTTGTGCCCCCTCACCCCCCTTTTTGCACCCCCCATTGCTCTCCCCTTTCACCCCTTGCACCCCCATTGCCCTCTTTATTTCTTTATTCCCTGCTTTGCATCCTCCTCACCCTCCTCATTCCCCTTTGGACCCCCTGCTTTGCCTCCCCCCCTCCCCTTCACCCCCCCACCTTCAACCAGCAGGAAAAAGCCCCGCGGGTTTTTCTGGAGCATCCTGATAGCCACGGCCACCATCTCAGTGAGGGACGGGTCCGTCTCGTTGTTCCTGTCCAGCTCGTACACCATGTCGCCAGGCTCAAAGAGACCTAGGGACAGTGATGCTGGGGGGGGGATGCCCTTTCCCGACCCCGTGCTGGGAGCTTTTTGTGCTGGCTCAAGAGTTTTGCCCAGCGCCGGATCCCCTTCCCCGGGCTGGCGATTAGATAGGAGCCGAGGGATGCTCCCGGCCCTTCCTTCCTCCCACCCAGCCGAATCCTGCATCCCCAAGGGGCTGGAAAATTGCACGGGGGAGGTGGAGACAAAAAAATTACATGCTGGGGAGGGGCAGAAATCCCATCCCTGAGGGGTCCCCACGGCATCCCTGGGGGTCCCCCCACATCCCCGGGGTGCTGGGGGCCTGGGGACACCCCGGGACTCACCCAGGAGGAAGTCGACGCGGCTGAGGTTGAGCGCCAGCAGGTCCCGCCGGTGCCACACATACTTGGCGACCTGTGGGGGGGGGACAGAGCCCCCGCAGCTCGTCACCTCACATGTGGGACTAGCCCCCGTCCCCAGCCCCGCAGCCACCCTTCACCCCCTCCCCAAAACATTTCCCGCTGAGGAGCAGCAGCAGCAGCTCTATGGGTTTGGGGGGGGGGGGGACACCCTAGCGCGGCCCCCACGTCCCCGTCACCTTCCCCGGGGGCTTGGTGTCGTGCCACGCCTGCACCAGGTCCCGGCGGTCCAGGCGGGTGCCCCGGTGCTTCTCCTCCTGCGGGTACTCCACGTCGCTGGCGTTTTTGGGGAACATGTATTTCCGCCCGCCGCCCAGGATCACCTGCGGGGAAAAACCCACTCCCAGGCTTAGAAACGCAACTACAGCCTCTTTTGAAAATTATTTTTTCCCCTACAAAATAAAAAAAAAAAAAAAAAAAAAAAAGAAAGGGAGGCAAACCCCGAGGAGACGGAGCTGGGTTGGAGGGTGATGTCCAGGAAAACCCTGGCGGTGTGCAAAGCCAGGAGAAAACACCCGAGGAATTTCACCTCGCTAGAAATAACTCCGAATCTCTTACTATTAATTACACTGAGGACAGAAATAACCATTTCCAGCAGTAGCTTTGGCTTTTTTTTTTCCCTCCTCGCCAGGGACGGCGGGCAGGGATGCTCCCTGCCGGGGTCCCCGCATGAACCCGCCGGGACGGAGCCTCGTCCCGTGGCTCCGGCTGTTTGCTTTGGAGCCCGAGTTATTTGGCTTCCGTTATTTATAACTAGGCAGAGATTTATTTATTTTTTTTTATTCTCTCCCCCCCCACACCCCTCGCCCCGCAGAAGGTGAATTATAAAGCAGCAAAACAACAACACCAAAATTATTAAGGGAAGAAGAGGGAGAAAGGGAAAAAAAAAATTCTTCCCCACTATATAATTATTTCCAGCCTGGGACAGAGTTGAAATTATATTAAAGGGAAAAAAAACAGAAGAAGAGGCTATTAAACAGCTAAATAACAGGCTTAGATGTTTTGCTTTGGGGCTATTTTGAAGTACAGAAGCGTATTTATTTACAGGGCTGAATTTCTGTGCAAATCCACAATGAGGGGCAGAACTGAGGGGAAAATGCAGCTTTTTGGGCACGGGAAGCATGAGAAAGGGATTTGTGTCTCAGCGTGAGATCGGGATGCCTGCTGCGGTGCTGGCACCCTGAGCCCATGGGTGCAGCTGGGTTCTGGGGACTGGGGGAAGCTGGGGTGGGGCACTGGGGGGCCTGGCCCCACATCTGCTGGGGGTCCTGACTCTGCACCCACTGGTGCTCCTGGCCCTGGACCCTTTGGTGGTCCCAGCCCAGCACCTGCCAGGTCCCAGCCCACCACCCATGGGTGGCCCCAGCCCCTTGTCCCCTGCAGCCCCAGCCCCGTGCCCATCAGTGGTCCCAGCCCAGCCCCTGCTGGGGATCCTGGCTGCTCACCCCCCTCCCCAGGTTCCCAGCCCTGTGCCCAGCGGTGGTGCTGGGCTCACACCTCTTCCCTCGGGGTGGCCCCAGCCCCGTGCCCACCTCGATGTCGGGGATGTTCTCCACCAGCTGCCGCGCGATGTCCTTGCAGCCGCCCTCCAGCGCGTCGGGGGGCATCTCTCCATCCGAGTACCAGTCGCGGTTGGCAGAGTGGGCGTAAGCGGCGCTGGGCGTCGCGTGGGTGACCCGCGTGGTGGTGACGATGCCCACTGCCTTGCCTGCGCCACGAGGTTCACGGGGCAATGGTGGAAACGGCCCCAAAACCCAGCGTCCCTGCCCCATCCCCACGCCCACCGGCGGCTCACCTTCATCCTTGGCCCAGCGGAGGATGGAGGTCACCTCCTGGCCCTTGGTGGTGTTGCAGCGGTCGCGGGTGACGCCGGCGCTGACGCCCACCGTCCCCTCGTTGGCTTTGACACCGCAGAGGTAGGCGGTGGCCGTGCCCGCGCTGTCGGGCACCTGAGCGTTGGTGTTGTAGGTCTTTGGGGAGGGGGGAGGCAGGGAATAAAGCGACCCTGTGTTGTTATCATCATCCTCACCATCATCATCCTCACCATCGCCCCATCCCAGGGCTTCCCTCCTGCCTTGCTCAGCCGCATCGTGCCCGAGCGCCCCTTCTTTTGCCCCTCACAGCCCTTGTTGTGTGCGTGCCATCCCCTCGCTGTGTTTTGCTGGTTTCAGCCCCTTTTCAGCCCATTTTTAGGCAGGGAGAGCAAAGCCAGCAACTTTTGCCCTGTCACAAGAATCCCTTGCGGAGATGGGGTGAAAGGAGGCAACCGGGGCTTGCAGTTTAATAAAAAAAAGCCTTTTTCAGCAAAACAGCCCCAGGAGAAGAAGGGGGGGGGGGATTCTGGCTCCCATGGCTGGGCAGCCTCGTCCTGCCCCCCCGTTCCCACAGAGCCAAGCCCTGGCACGGCGGCCGGGCACGGGGCGTGAGCCAGCTCCACTCACCCGCCCGTGACCTAATTTCGGCTCCGGTCGATGACGGCCGCCTGCCTGCGACCTTGTGGCTTGCGGCCCCCATCCCGCGGGGGAGCCAGGGTCTGGCCCCGGGGGCTCACCTTGGCCAAGGCAACGTAGGGGAACTTGTCCATCTCCAGCAGGCTCTCCTCGCCCTTGCGGTTCTGCAGCTGCCCCTTGAGGATGCGGGCGGCCGTGACGGTGGAGACCCCCATGCCTGCGGGGTGGGCGCCCGTCACCGCCCCGCCAGCCACGGGCCAGGCGCCAGCTGGCGGCGTGCACCCCGTGCAGCCCAGCGTAGTGCAGCGCCCGGTGTGTGCAGTGCCCAAATTATTGCAGCGCCCGGTGCATCACAGCACCCAACACGTCCCAATGCCCTGCTTGTTGCACCCCCTTTGTTGCACTGCCCCATCCTTGCAGCCCTCCGTTGCCCCACACCGCACCCCGTAGCCCCCCGCTGGGGGGTCCCCATCTCACCGTCGCCCAGGAAGAGGATGAGGTTTTTGGCCACGTTCTGGTTGAGGCGCTGGAGCCGCAGGGCAGTCACGCAGTGTCTCCTGCGCCTGCTGCCGCCAGTACTCGGGGTCCTTCTCGTTCTCTGCCAGGGCGCAGGGAGACCAACGGGGCTCAGCGGCACCCAAACGCACCCACTGCCTGGGCGCAGCCCCCCCAAACCCCACCTACCGGGGACCAGCGATGCCAAGCAGAGCTGGGCCAGGAGGGTGAGGAGGAAAGCCTTCATCGTGCCCTTCAACGCTTGTCTTCCTTGCACCAGCAGCAGGAGCTGTGTGGGAGAAACCTGCGGGGGCTCAGCACCCTGCCCTCCCCGTGCCTCAGTTTCCCCGCTCTGCTCACCCAGACCTTCGCCCCCGGGATTAACCAAGCGAGGACAGAGGGGACTGTCCCCTCCCTGCACGGTCACGGCTGTGCCCCCACTGGGACATGTCAGCCCCCTGCCGCGGGGCGTCACCTCGCTGGCACCAACCGGGTTGGGGGACGGCGGCACACCCCCTCCCTCACCCCCACAACCCCATTGCTGCGTGTCCGTGTCCCCAGCCCCGCTGCACGTGGTGTGCTCGAGGCATGTCGGGGTCCCCTCCACACGGCTGTGTCCCCATCGCGTGTCCCTGTCCCCATTGTGTGGCTGCGTCCCCATCACGTCTGTGTTCCCACTGCACACTGGGGTCCCCATCTTGCGTCTGTGTCCCCACGGCATGTCCCTGTCCCCACCACACCTCCCTGTCCCATTACGTGTCCGTTCCTACGCACATTGGGACCCCATCGTGTGTCCCTGTCCCCACCGTGTCTGTGTCCCCCTTTGCATGTGTCCCCACCACAGGCATGCCATGTCCCCACCTCATGTCCCCAGCATGCGCCCGTGTCCCATCGCATGCCTGCATCCCGGTGCACATCTTTTTCCCCATCGCATGTCCCTGCACATCCACATCCCAACTGCGTATCCGTGTCCCCACTGCCCCTCCACGTCCCCATTGCACACCCGTGTCCCCATTGCACACCCACGTCCCCATTGCAAGTCTGTCCCCACCACACACCCGTGTCCCCACCGTACCCCTGCATCCCCCTGGTGCCCCCGCGTCCCCTCCGCACACCCGTGTCCCCATCCCGTATCCACATCCCTGTTGCGCTCCCGCGTCCCCACCGCGCCCCCGTGTCCCCACCACACGCCCCCGGCCCCCCGGCCCTGCCCGGGGTCTCTCCCGGTGGTCGCGGGGGGGTCCCTTACCGCCAGCCCGGGGACGTCCCCGCACAAACTTGGGCTCTGTCGCCCTTGTCCCTCCCGGCCGGCGGAGCGGAGGCGGGCGGGGGACAGCGAGCCCTTAAATCCCCCCGGCCCTGGCCTTCGCCTCCTCCTCCTCCTCCCCTTCCTCCACCCTCCACCCGCTGCCAGCACGGAGAGTGGGGGGGGGGGGGGGGACGCGTGTGTGGGGGGGTGGGAGGCAGCAAACTGGGCTTACTGGTGCCCTCTGCCGGGTTTTACTGGGAGGACTGGGAGGACTGGGGGGACTCGGGGGGGGGATAAGCGCTGCTGGGGGTGCTGAGCCCCTTGTGCGCGGGGGGGCGTCGGGGGAAAGAGGGGTGCGGAGGGAGCAGATGTGCCCTGGGGGGTGCCTAATTCCTCCCCCCGAACCAGCCAGCGAGGGCAGGCGTGTTGCAACACTTTGGGGTGCCCCCCCCGCCCCCAGCTGTGGACTCTCTGGTGTCTGCTTTGGGGTTGTGCTCGGCTTCCCCCTCCCCTTCGCCCCCCTCCCCTTTTGAGCAGCCCCCCCCCGCTGCCCCGCTCTGTCCCCGCTCACCCATGCAGACCCTCTCCCATTTTGGGGTCGGGGTGAGGGACTCGGGGCACGCTCTCACCTCCGTGCCCCAACCCGGCCGCCTGCAGCCCCGCAGGGTTTTGCGGTAGGTCCTACAATAAACACGAGGCTGTTTGCAGCCCGACACGTCCCGGCTCGCGGCTCCTCTTGCAAACGGTGCACGAGGACGGCGTGCCAAGGCCTGGCCATGCGCCCCGGCATGTCGGGACAGGGCTTGGGGTCGAGGCCTGGGGCCCTGCTTTTGGCCTTGGGAGGCTGCCGGCCTCCCCCGCCTCAGTTTCCCTCTGGTGGGGACAGAGGTGGCTACGTCGTGGGGGGACCCGTGGGTGGCCGTGGAGCTCTTGGTGGTTTCCCAGAAGGTGGCGGCCTCAGCCCAAAAATCCGCTCCCTGAAGGCTTTGGGGTGCCACCGGGACGGGCCTCATGCATGCGCTGAGTGTGTGGGTGCTCAGCCCCCCCGGCTGGGGCAGGGGCTGGGGGCGGCAGCACGGTCCTGTCCCCGCTGTCCCGTGGGAAGCCGTGTGGGACAGCTAACGGGGGACAGCGCGGCCGAGAGCTCGTTAGCCCTGCGCACAGAAAGCCGCACGATGGGGAACTCCTTGCTGCGAGCACAAAACCAGGCTCAGAGTGTGGGTGGGAAAAAAAAATACAAACCCTGCGAGGGGCTGCTAAACACATGAGAGGACAAGGCTGCAGCCAGGGGCTGAGTGCCCAGGGTACTGTGCTCACGTCTGTGCAAAATTGAACGTTTGCACACCTGTAAGGCTGCACGCCTGCATGCACACAAAATTGCAGGCTGACATCCTTGCACCATCATGCGCTTGGATGCTTGCACAACTGGGAGGTTGCATGACACGGTGTGCTCGTGTGCTTGCACAATCGTGTGTGCACATGCCGCGTGTGCACATGCCGGGCCAATTGCACGCTTGCCCCCTTGCACAACCGCGAGCAACGCCTGGCTGGCTGCAAAACCACTCTGCACAGCCTTCCTTGCACGGCTGCATCCCTGCACCCCTGTGCAACGGCTGCTTGCACACGCGGGTGCTGGAACAGCTGCACGCCCACGCACTCACAGCGCTGCGCGCTTGCACACTCGTTTATTTTAATTCCCAGTTCCCCCGCTAATTCCCAGTTCCCCCGCTAATTCCCAGTTCCCCCGCTAATTTCGAGTTCCCCCCCCCCCAATTTCGAGTCCCCCCCCGGTTCCCAGTTCCCCCCCCCACCCCGGGTTCCCAGTTCCTCCCCCAGTCCCCAGTTCTCCCTGTCCCCATCCCTGCGCTGGCAGCACCCCGCTTTGCAGCGTTCTCCCCGGAGGGTGCTCGTCTCCCGGCGCCCCCCCGGCAGCCCCCCCCGGCCCCCGAAGGAGTTAACGGCGTTGGGAGGCGCGGCCCCGCCGCCCCATTGGCGCTGCCGGCCCAGGTGCATCCTCGCCCCGCGCCGCCCCGGGGCCGCAGCGCGCAGCAACGGGGCTCGGAGCCATGGTGAGTGCGGGGCCCCCCCGCCCCAAAATTCCCCCCCCCCGGACCCCCCCGCTTCTCCTTCGGGCTCTGTGGGTGCCCCCCCCCCAAGCATTGGCTCTCAGGGGGAGGCGCAGGGAGGTGCCCCCCTCCTCCAGCAGGCGGGGGGGGGGCACAGCGCGGAACGGGTCGGGTGGGGGCGGCCCCCCCGTGATGATGATGATGGTTATTTGATGGTTATTGATATTTTCCCGCTTTTCAGCCCCTTTTTGCTCCTTTTCAAAGCTTTTCAAAATTTCCTTCCCCGCACCCCCCAGCCTCAGCCAAACCCGGCGGCTCCCCCAACCCCCCCCCGACTCCTCCTCGCCCCCCCCTCATTAACGCAAGCAGCTGCTAATTAACACCCCCCCCCCTCCCCCCCCCCCGGTAACGGGGCCGGGCCGTCCGCAGGCCGCGGCGGCGCCGGGGGCACCCCGGGGTGCGGGGCGGGGGCGGTGCCGCCAGAGGGGGGGGGGCGGCGGAGGGAGCCCGGGGGGGGGCCGCTGGGGACCGGCACCGGGCCGGGGCCCGGGGACCGTGTCCGGGAGCGGGGCGGGGGCGGCGCGGAGCGGAGGCGCCGGGGCCGGCGGGGGCAGCGCTGGCTCCGAAATGGCGCCCGGGAGGCGGCGGCGGCGGCGCCCCGAGGCCGCGGTGAGGGGCCCCCGGCCCCCAGCACGGGGCTTTGTGGGAGGGGGGGATAAAAGCGAATTTTGGGGAGTGTCGGCGGTTTTTGAGGCCTTGCGGGGAGTTTTGGGGGTGTGGGGTTTAAGCTTGGTCCCCCCCACCCCATCGCCCTGCACCCCCCCCCCCCCCCAGCCCGTGTGGGTTTGTAATGCGATTTCGGCAAACTTTGGAGCTGGGACATCCCCCCCCCCAAAAAAAAAAAAAAAAAAAAAAGACAAAATAATAAAAACACCCCTTTTTGACCAAAAAAAAGGGCGTTCCCCCTCTCTGCAAGCAAGGGTGGGAGCGCCTATGGGTGCTGCTTTACGCTGGGGGGGTAACGTGGGTGCAGTAAATACCTAAAAACCCGATTTTCCACAATTTGAGGCGGCGGGGGGGTGTCTGGCCACCCCCTGAGGATGCGCTGTGGCAGCCCCCTGGGGGGCTCTAGGGGCTGAAGCTCGGCGTGGATTCTCTGCTGGTTAATACGGGGTTGAGGCAGCACGGCACAGGGAGCGATGTGGGGGGGGGCGGATGTGTTTTGCCCTTTTTCCTGCTGTTTTTGGGCCGGGCTGGGCTGGAGCTGCTCAGGGGGCTGCAGGGGCAGGCAGGCGGGATGGGGGATTGCCGAAAAGCCTCATTTCCTCAGGAAACGGAGTGAAAGCGTTGGCTGAAGGCTCGGACTCCAGGAATTGGCCCACGCCGGTGCTTTGGAGCCCCGCTGGGGATTCACAGAGCCCCGTGACCAGACCCCCCCTGCATGAGCCTGGAGCTGTGAATTCCAGCCATGTGCGAAGTGCAAAAACAAGGAGAGAAAGGGAGAGGGGAGGAATTAAAAAAAAAAAAAAAAAAGAAAAAAGAGAGAAAACAGATTTCACCACCGATAAAATCCTGCAGTTGAAGCTTTTCCTCCCCGCACGGTTCTCAGGCAGAAGCGCAGCCTCGAGGCAAGTGCTTGGAGGAGATTTTGGGTCTGGAAACGGAGCTTTTTGCACAAGCCAGGACGGAAAGGGCCTTTTGCCTTCAGCCCTTTCCCATCCCCAGGTGGGTGCTGCAGGGTGCTGCCCTTCCCACCCTGGTGCACGCGCTTGCCCTCGTGCCTGCGGCTAATTAAACCCAGGCTGCGATTTGGGATCCGGGCAGAGCCCTGGGCTCAATTAGTGGTTGTGCAACGGGCGGGCTGGGAAGATTCACGGCGGTGTTGGCGTCATCGGGCGTTATTGGGGCCGGGGCGTGTTTCCACCCCCGGGCCTGTTCGTCCCCTGGATGGCTGAGGACTGGCACTTTCGTTGCACTCACCTTGCTACAAAGCACGCTTCCCATCTGGTCAACCCCCAAAATGCTGATTTTTGGGTGGTTTTGTACCATTTCTGTCCAGAGCGGCCTTAGCACTTTGTCTCTCCCCAGTTCTGGCTGCTTTTGCCGCTCTCTGAGCGATGGGGAAACTGAGGCACAGCCGTGTGCTTGGGTGCTGCCAGATTCATACTGGCTCCGTGTCCCTTTGGACGTGGTGGCAACGGGATGGCAATGTCCCTACCTCCACCTAAACGGGTGCAGAGCCCTGCTCCCACCTCCCCACCACACAGGGTTTGATGCCGGGGAGTGATGGGACCCGAGCGGCACTGCGGGGCCGGGGAAGGTTTTGGGGTGCCTGCTGTTGTCCCTGTGGGGACAATGCGGCTCAGTGTGCGGTGGCAGGGCCGTGCCAGGGGGGAAGGAAGCGGCGCCGCGATAAGGGCTGTCTGCCAGCCTGTGAGGTTTCCCCTTGTTTTTCTGCTGGGGGCTGAGATAAGAGCTGGGCCCCCCCTGCCTCGCCACGAGGTAACGCCCTGGGGACGCTGAGCCGGGAGGGAAGCGGCGCTTTGCCCGTCTGCTGAGCCTGTGCGCAGCCCAAACACAAGGTGCCGTCACCTCTGAGCATCTTTGGGTGCTCAGAGGGACCCCATGGGGTGTTTTGGGGGATGCTGTGGGGCAGGGGGTGTGTGGTTTGTGGGGCAGACAGGAGGGTGCAAGCGAGCTGTGAGCTCTGGGTGAGAGGCTGGCTCCCCGCTGCCAGCACTGCCCGAGTCCATGGTGAGCCCGGCACGGGGACCCTCTCCCAGTCCTGGGGCTGGGAGCCGATGGAGGAGGAACCAGCATTATTCCTGCCGAAGGGGAGGTTGCACAACCCATCCCCAGGGGAAGCGAGGCGGGTTCGGGTTCACTCAGCTTTTGGCTCCGGCCGCGCCGCTTTCTGTAGCGTTCCTCCGGCGGCTGCTCGGCGCTGTGCTAGCCCGGAGCCATTCGGGGTCCAGCTCCCCGGAGCAGAAGGAGGAGGCTCTGAGGCTGTGTTCCCCTGCCGCCGTCCTTCCTCCTCTTCGTCCTTCCTCCTCCTCGGTGCAGCCGGGGTGCCGGCCCCCCGCCGCTCAGCCCCT